GTAATAACTATTATGCTTAAGGGCTTTAACACTATAAGGGCTTTGTTATTGTTATTGTTATTGTTATTGATAAATATCTTAATCTTCAACTATTTATTATTATGGTGTATGATATGTTTCACTCTAAATAGTAAATATATACAATATTTAATTAGCAAAGGGCTTCACTCGACAGGCAAATAAGAGCTAAGTTCTATTTATAAACAAGTTCTGGAGTAGGTTAACAAGGACGAATGTCTTTCGCTGACTGCGATACTATAGTCTATTATCTATAGTTTAAAATTTATTCAGTTCTCCTATACGTATCAGTCTGCACAATTTCCCGTATATTATCCCAATGTACTGATCCATTGCCTGGCAATCCATGAGGTAACTTGGCAAAAAGCCAAGGTATAATTATAACAACTATTTCGAAACTGGCAAACGTCGACTCATTCACCTTCATTTGAAGAATGTTGAGAGAAGGTTTCGGTCAGAATTCAAAACCTTAAACTTCTAGTGAAACCTCTCGTTTCAATGCTTGCTTTCCTCCCTTCTTCTTTCCCTGCAAATTTCTGATACCTTTCAATATTTTATTACGATGTCCGACCAAATTTATTCCCATCTCCTTCAGATCGTCTTCTTTGATCCCGTATAGCTCACAAGGTCTCTGATATCCCGCTGCTGTAAAATTTTTCACGTATTCTTCCATTTTGATCGATTCCAACTGATTCACGTAGGGCGGCGCACAGATCGACGTCCCCTTCCATCGTTTTAGGAGTCTGGATCCAACCATCAATGGCGGCATTTACTTCGGTGATATTTGGACGTACGATGCGATCTTGTTTCCAACGATCTTGTTTCCAACATGCATGAGGTCGCGGTGTGATGTGTCACTAAGGGGCGGACCACTAGAAAAGTGATGGGTGGCGGTGGGGAAAAAGCAAAAAAAAATCGCGCAGGGGTAACGGAAAAGGCCAGAAAAAAATTCGTGCACCAAAAAAGTTGGGAAAAAAATTCGTGCAGAGACTTTTAAATAGGCAAAATTTTAAGTTGAAATAATAAAAAACTTGTGCAAGGGATTATATTTGAAAAAAATGATCGACACAGGCAAAAAATATTGGTACAAGTTAACTAAAAAGTCGCCGCCCCCCCCCCCCTCATCACTTTTCTAATGGTCTGCCCCTAAGCTTCATTCAGAACATGCATGGAGACTAAAATTAATGAATTAATTAATTTCCCGTTCTTGCGCGTTTTGGATACATTCGCTTCGAGAACATTTCATCCTATCATATTACGGAATGACTACTTACTAAATAATGTACTTCTCCTCAGCATTTCCGCACTCAGCAACCTTCAATTTTTGCCCCCTTCCCCCCGTCTTTGGCATTTAACGTTTTTCCCTCTCGACTTCCTTCAATTTCGTCTGTTATGTAGATATTATCAGGAGGGGGTCAAACAGCAAACCTTTAATATAGAAGCATTGAGGGGCTAAATTTATTCAGTGCATGCAAACGTTCGAGTGAGGAGCTCCGTAGAAAAGATATATAAAACGCTATTTTGCAAATAGTATTACAGGTAAGTATATATATTTTATCTTTTAGATTTAATAAAGAACAAATTTCTAGATTACGGTTTGTGATATAAGCCGTTGGAAAGTTTCTTTTGAAGCCAGTTTTTCGTTAATTTAACTCTGGATCAGCCTAATCGTCTTTCGAACAACCAGTCCATATGGTGATATCGTATGATATGATTCTCTTTTAAACCTTTATAATGAGCTCGAGCAATCAGCTAAACGTAAACCGAATCATGAAATTGATTGAAATTGTAACGGTAGTTTTCTTTTAAGTTTGCATGGGTCAAACCGTAACGCGAAAATACGATGCATGCGTTCTATAAATATCCTACAAAGTCAAAGAGTTTTAGTGTAGAGTATTCTTTCTTTGAAAAGTACGTTTGAACTGACGTAAATGCACTAAAGTGAAGCTTCCTTCGTTTCATCTACTTCATATATCGATCTATATATACTTCACGCAATTTTATCCCGAGTATAAATATGGATTCTGACGATTGCACGAGCACGACTGCTTTAAGGTACGAATATTTCTAACCAAATAATTTTATATAATATAAAATATATATATATATACGGATATAATAGCGTTTTACTGCACAGCTTCACTGCAACATTGAAAATACTTTTACTTCCTACAAAAAGTCCGAAAAAGTCTGGCAAAATTCCAATCAGTGAAAGTCCAAAACTCTGCATGTCATTGAACGCAACCATAAGGAAAAAATTCAAGTTAAAATTAACCAATAATTTATTCTACTCGATAAAAAGCTCTTCAATCCGTCAGTTAGGTGTAGGATATTGGTCGAACTGACGTATTTTACCCAATTGTAAACCAATAGTTTACTGACGAAAATATATGAAAATACATGGGATAGAAGTTTGCAACGGTCAAACCGGAACGCGAAAATACGATCCGTTGTATGAACATCCTACAAAGTCAACGAATTTTGGTGTATCACTATTATTTCTTTGAAAAGTAAGTTTGAATTACGCAAAATCACTAAACGGAAGGCTTCAAAGAAGGATTCGTTTTATATCTACTTCATATATCGATCTATCTTCTATCTGATGCAATTTTATCCCGAGTATAAATTTGGGTAATTGTGCTCTGCATGGTACAAGTATTTCTAACCAAATATTTTTTATCCGATCCCTGAGAAAAATCGGGTATAGTTGCTGATAAAAGCGGAATTACTGCATAGTTTCATCAGGACATTGAAAACAATCAGAAAATAGTGTTTCATTTCCTACAAAAAGTCCGAAAAATTCTGGTAAAATTCCAAAAGTGTCCAACCACAAAAGTGACCCACAGACTTTAATCAATGAAAGTCCAACAGTCTGGTATACTATCTAAGAGTGATTTGGGCTCACGCACTATAAGGGAAAAAAATCCAAGTTTACCAATCCGTCAGTCAGGCACTCGTGCAGGTACCGTATGTTGGTCGAACTGACTTATTTTAGGGGAATTAAAGTAAAATATATGGGAAATATGACATTTGAAAATATTTTAGAATGATGTAAACATTTTAAACATTCATGGTTTTTAAGTACTAGATAAAACATGAGCAGCCATTCTTCATCTGATATAAAAACTCGAGCCGAAGCCGAGAGTTTGTATATCAGATAAAGATCGGATGCGAATGTTTGTTTTTATTTTTTTTTATTTTAGCTTTGCCAACTAGGGCAAGGCCACCACAACAGCATGGGTCAATTAGTGTGAGCCCTTTTACCTAACCCACTCTAGCTGTCAACTTTTCGTGTGGGAGGAAACCGGAGTACCCGAGGAAAACCCACGACTTTCGGCAGAGCGTTGACTTTTACTCTTTTCACATGAGGACTGGGTCCGAGTCGCATTGAGAAAGTTCTCACTGAGGCTTGAACCTGCGGCCTCAGAGGTGAAAGGCAAGTGCGCTGACCACAAAGTAATTAGTTAAAAAAAGACATAGTCTACGTTAGCCGAGAAAATCAAAGCTGAAATTTATGTAAATCAGGACAAATCTTTATGCCATTTACAAACATTGATTAAACATTCATTTCTTTTGAATTTTCTTCATGAATAGTTATTAATGCGTTTTATAATACTAGTTTACTGACGAAAAGGTAATCACATTGGAAATATAAATGGCCAAAGGGCAAACCACTTTGAGGGTCCTGATGAAAGGCCAAATGCATGGTACCAGGAAAAGGAATCCTTTGTACCAGGATTTGCTCTACTTTTGGACAGACACAAAAATGGGAATCTCGCTCGAAACGTCGAATTTCTGCTTGTTTATTTCAGGTAGTAATATAACCACTCAGCACAGAAATTTTACGTTGGTACTACCCATACTGCATGGTACAGACAGTTTTAGTATAACACCCATATACCATTAAAAAGATTGCGGAGTTAACAATAACTTTAAGAGAGGCTATACGGACGAACTTTTTTCAGGATATGCTTGTTACTCCCCAAAGTGGTGTCACACCATCGAAATGAACATAACTGGAACGCTATATATAACCTGCAGATAAACTGCCTGTCTTTTTCTTGAAGCCAAATCTTACTTCCAGACACGCGTGTCTGGAGGTAAGATCACTCGTGTTTATATCATGATTGACTGATTAAACGCTCTTCACAAGCGTGAAAAGACTGGGACTAGCCTTCAAGTTTGGCTTCGAATTTCCGGTTGGAGCTGGGGGAGGTCCATCCCATTGTCCATCCTCGTTCCCAGGGCCTCTCGGCCGCACGCGTCCGAAAATGGCTCTGGGGACGAGAATGGGGGAGGTCGCGTTCCAGATACATTCATTTCAATGGGTCAATCTAATTTTTTAGCTTGACAATAATGCAGCGATGCACATGAGCCCAAAACTCGTCTTTTGTCGTTATTATAATCGTTATAAATTGAAACGTTTTGAATCAAACAACGGTTTTTAGTCCCAATGTCCTTAAAAGTCGAGAGGTTATTATTTGAAATGTTAAAAACTTCACTAGTTTTCATGCAGTATAATCCTTTAAACTTCTACATTTTCTTTATAGAATTTGTAAAATTCTTGAAATTTGTAAAAACGAAAATGACATTGAGACCTATAACGTGTTTCACTTTACTCATCTTGGTGATATTTTGTGCAAGTGAAACGGAGTAAGTTGGCTAATAGACATTTATAGACCATACGATTGACGCCAGTTTACGGCAGACCGTTAACTGCAAATTAACGGAAAACTAGTCAAATAGTGTTTTGAGGCCAACTGTTAGCTGTTCGTAGTTGGGGCAATTTGTGCTTTAAAACTAAAGCATGGATTAGCCAATTCGCTGTGGAAAACGTGTAGAACTTACCTTCAAAATTGTTCAAATACGATTTGAATTAGTTGCTGTTTGCGGTTAGCGATCTAGCTAACGTATAAACGCGTCAATCTAAATTAAGGTCTAGTTCTATAATGATATTAATTCACTGATATCTGAGCAGTCCATGCCATATGTATCAACACGTCCGACATGCATAATTAAAATAGTGGCAGATTGCTGTAATGGACTCTATGTTACAGATACAGATACAGATATTTCACAGCACACTCCCTATCAGGGCTTTTCAGTGACTGGTTACATTATGAATAGATATAGATAGAACCGGACTGACGTGAAGCAGAGCGAGGTAAACTTTGAGCTTACAAATGGCGCTTGAGCAGCTAGCCGCTATTAGTCCATACCTCATTAATGTGATGCCTCAGACCTATGTGCCTAACCCACCCTGTCAACTTTCCCTGTGGGAGGAAACACGGAGTACCCGGAGAAAACCCACGACTTTCAGCAAAGCGTTGACTTTACTCTTTTCACATGAGGACTGGGTTCGAGTCACATTGAGAAGTTCTCACTGAGATTTGAACCTGCAGCCTTAGAGGTGAAAGGCAAGTGCGCTAGCCACTATGTCAGTCGAGAGCGGGTTGCATACACCGGCGCTACACTAATTTAATCTATTTTGAAATACTAATTGAGGGGCGGCCGAATGTGAATTTTTTGCAGGGGGAGCAGATTTTCAATTAAAGTGACTACATGTCCAATATTCTTTAAACAACTTGCGGCGGGGTGGGGGCTGGGAGCCCCCAATATTAATTCGAAATTTGCGCTGCGCTCTCGTATCAAGTGAGTGAATTGCTATGGTTTTTAAAATGCAGACTGCTGTGGTGCAGGTGGCTGCACAATGGGGAGCTGGGTAAATTCTCCTCCAGGACGAAAACGAGATGAGTAAGTTAGACAGGGGAGGATTGAGAGCGATATACAACTACACACATAAAAATCTCACAACTTGTCCACAAGATGTGTTCGCAGCAGACTTGTAGCAAGCTTGTCAACAAGTTGTAACAAGGCTGTTATATTTTATTAAGTTGCTATAAGGTTGTCACTCACAATTTGTTGACAAATTGGTGAATTGTAGGAAAATAACAAGTTGTTGGAAGAACTTGGAACAAGTCTGTTGAACTCAACAACCTTGCAGCAAGTTCTCAACCTTTAATTTAAACTGATTGAATATTAAGAATTTTCAAACATGATACTTTTTTATATCTTGTTATAGATTCCTAAGAAGCTGTAAAAATTCTGGGAAGTGCAGCTCAAATGGAGAGTGTTGTGATAGAGCGTGCATAAGTGGGGGTTGTGTAACTCCTCCTCCCGGCCGAAAGCGAGTTGTGTAAGTTACTGTATACCCTCCATTCAAAAGCATCGTAATTGAAAATAATTGGACGTCTATATAATAATAATAATTACATATGGTATCAAACCTAAAATTCAACCAACCTCGCAAGCCACGGTCTTTACCTAGATAAGACCCTGGGTACAAATTAACATGTTAACTACCAAATACGCGCTAATCAATTTTTGGATCCAAAAGGGGTAAGAAAATAATTTTATCTATTCCGTTTCCGCAACATTACAGCTAGCCGTTACAATGAGTTTTATCGTAAATAGTTATATATATAGCGTTTATGATAATTTTCTATATTACCTGTTGTAAACATAATCAATTCAGTTTGTAAACCGCTGTAATTTATGTATAATTAATAAACTATTTTAAAATTTTAAGAAGCTGTGAAGATCCTAGGACGTGCAGCTCAAATTCTGAGTGTTGCTACAGAGAATGCATAGATGGCACCTGTATAACTCGCGGCCGAAAACGAGTTGTGTAAGTTGTGTTTTTTTCTCCCACAGGGAAAGTTGACGGGGTGGGTCAGCAGGTAAAAAGGGCTAACAGTAATTGGCATATGCTGTTGTGGTGACCCTGCCCTAGTTGGCAAAGCTAAATAAATAAATAAATAAGTTACTGTACCATGCATTCAAAACATTCGAATCGAAAGTAATAAATACGTTTACCATCAAAGCAACCATCCAATGATAAGGAAAACTCAGACTTTTTGTTTTTCTAAGATTAATGAAATTATCAAGAGGGCAAGGCTGATTTAAACTCATTGAATATTAAGAGGGCCTCTCAGTAAAATCCACCCACTGGTTTCGGGAAGGAAAAATAGATTTAGCTCATATTTTGCATATGAACTAGACTTTGGTCAATATTAATCGAGCTTCTTTCAGAACGTTTCAACTTTCTG